CTGCAATATACGGTTCTTTCTGCGCTGCCTTTTCTCCTCGAGAGTGATCCTGCGTGTGTTCTCAAAGGAGACAGCAGCATTATAGATGGTTCCAGGGAATAGTAATAGTAAATAAATGGTTAATTTTAAAATGTACTCTTTTTTAACTCCAAGGATAAAATTGAATTTTGTGATGTGCACAAGTAGTGGTCATAACTGGTATTTGGAAATTATTTAAAATATACAATGTCCAAATGGCTATTCTTCTTTATAGTTAATTATACGTTATTTCTTTTGTAGATTTCTCTCCCGGGTCTTTATCAGATACTCTGCTTTGAAGATGAAAGTCTGTGGCACACTTTTTCTCAGAGTTCTGTATGTGAACAAGACTTTCCATCTACTGTTTTAAAAAGAATTTCCTTATTTCAGCAGGTAATCTTTTCATTTATTATATTAATTATAAGTTCAGCATTAAAAGCAAATTTTACATCCAGGCCTGCTTGAATTATAAGCAGAGACAGTATCTACACTGTTTTTTTAGTCTAAGGATTATGTATTTTCTTTCACCATAAAGCATATTTAGTTCTCTGTTATCTGAGTCTTTTTTTTGTGTTGGTGTATTGCCTGCAACTGAGTATACCCTGTAAGGTTTAGTAATATTCAGAATTAATTTCAGTAATAGGTATTAAAATTCTTTCATGGTAGCTTTGTTACTGGTGGATGTGTCAGCTTGTTGAGTATCTTTAGTTTAGTTCATCATTTAATGTACAAACTCACACATCTGACTGAAAACCGCAGAACACAGCAGCAGCCTCTTCTTTTTTAGAATAGTAGTCATGAAATATGACTGTTCTTGAAAGCCTGATGAAAAAGAACTCACCAAGAATATTGGGGGAGAAAATCCCTTTCTCTACCTGAGGGTCCTTCTCCACTGGAAGGGGAAAATGTAATCCCTTTTGTGTTTATGGAAGAAGGCATGTCATTACTTACTTTCAAATGATGCTGTGATTTTTCATTTGAAGTCACTCCACATAAAAAAACCAAAGGCCCATTCCAAAGAAAGGATGAGGTAGTTTCATGTAGTTTCATGCTGATTGGCTCTTAGCAGCTCTCTATTTGGAGTTTTTGATGGAGGAGGTAACTTTCTAAAATAACATGCATGGAATTAAGGAACAAACCATTTTGGAAAGGAATTTTTCTGAGTCATATTTGATTCTATGAAATGAAGAAGAGCACTTCTTATATGTGCAATGTATTGTCAGAAAAATTCTGCATTTATAGGAAAGTAAATCTGGAATGATCAGTATGTCTAGTTCCTTGTACAGAAAGTATTAAGAATATTTCTCTTTATGAAATGTAATGAAACTACGTGGTGAGATTGATGCACCACTCGTAAATTAATTTGCACTGAAATCAGAAACATTAGTATTTCAGTTAGGACATTACTGCCTGTACACGTGCGCAGAATTTAGATTACTAGTATAAAGCTAAGTTTGCTTTCTAGCTACCCACATAGCTACCTTTTTTATAAAACATTGTAGGAAAGATTGTAGCTTACAAATAGACATTAGGTATAGATCTATTCTCTGATTCTATTAATAGAAAAGCTACTTACAAAAGAAAAATTACAGTAGGTTATCTTGGAAAGGAATGATCAGATAGCTTTATATATTCAGGGAAAATAACTTTGTTCTTAAGAAAAGTTTAAAGAATTCAACCATCTTAGAGGAGTCTTGCATTTTAAATTGTCACTATATACTTTTATAGACTCATCTCCCCCGAATATATTTTATTTTAAGGTACTTGTGGTCCAGGCTGTCCGACCAGACAGGCTACAGAGTGCCATGGCTCTTTTTGCGTGTAAAACCCTAGGTAAGTTAATTTTTCACCAGATTATTTCTGCATAACAATTAAGTATCTTTTTTTGTCCTACATTTTGCTTTTATTTTATAGTTGTTATGGAATCCCTAAGTTTCAGGATTTGAAAATATGCTGTAAATGGACCTGCTGGTTTTGTTCTTTTAAAGTATTGTTAAAAAGTGCTTTTGAAATTGTTCGGTTTATGCTGCATAGTGATTGAAAATGCTGTAGAAGATCTGTCAGATTCTTTTAATGAATTCTTGAACACTGGAATTAATTAAGAAAAGAAGATAACTGGTTTTCTTAAAGTTTTACACTGCAGCACTTTCCTTAAGACACAAATTTTCCAAAAAATATTACTCCATTTAATGTCATTAGATTTGAGATTTTGTAGATTGAGTCTCAAAAGATTATTTAATAATTTCAGTAATTTTTGTCAGTCTCTTGGTGTGTAATACTTTTTACTGTCTGTTTAAAAATATACATGATTTAGAGTGATTCAATACTATGGTTGTCTATTTGTTCTAGTTAGTCTATTTCCCTTATGAAGTCTATTGTATCCACAGTTTGAAACCTGTATGCCAAATAATCTTAATATTGCAGTATAGCACACCAAAGCCTTCCCTCAGTTTTTAGCAGTTAATGGGTATATGGAAGATGAATTATGAGTGTCTCATCAAGGTGGACACCTTAAGTTTTAAAAGTCACTTTATTTTACTCCTTTACGCTCTCTATCTGTGGGCATTATTTGTTGGTCAAAATTGACTCCATATCTGCAACCAAGACCGTTATTTTCGGGATTAAGGTATAGCTTCTCTGTCAAACATTATTAGTAGATAGAGAGGATACTTTGTTGATGGCGGGTATAAAAGGCCCATGCTGACAATGTCCCTGCCTGTTGGAATCAAATGACAAATGTGATCCGCAGTGCCACGTGGCTCAAAGCCCAGCAGAGACCTGAATGCAGAGTGAGTTTGCCTGCTTACTGTCTTCCAAATCTTAATAAATTACATAAATTGGAGGAATGCTGCACGAGGGGATGGTTTTAGGTGAATGAAGCTGCAGCCTCACCAAGGAAGGCAGAATACCATTATCTTCATTTGGAGTTTCAAAACAAGCAAATCATCCACAAATCATCCACAGATTTTTCATGCATATCAGTGAGGTTTTATTTTGAGATCATGTCATAAATCATGACTAGCACTTTCTAACTGATAAAAGATGTCACACTTGTATGAATATTTTTTCATAGTTTTTCTGCTGGGTCTTTTTCAGGATGCTTACCCTGAAACTACTTAAACTTTCCTTTAGTTTGAAAAGGAACCGTTAAGTTTCCAATCTACTTTGGCTGCTTTCCTGTAAGAAAAATGAGTTCCAAAAGAGCTCTAATAGCCTACAAGAAAGCCTTTCACTTCTGTTTTATCCAGATATGGGGGTTTTTGCTTCATCTTTTACATATATTTTTAAATTTATGGATGAAGAGGGATTAAAATAATTTCTTTTGAAGATAAGGTTCATAAGAACTTTCTAGGAACGTATTTTGTGGACACTCAAAGCATACTTATTTCTTTATCTTACATGCTATACTGAAATGCACCGTATTAACTGGAGCCTCGCTCCTATGAATTGAGAGTTGAGGTTGTTCAGCCTGGGAAGAGAAGGCTCTAGAGAGACCTTAAAGCAACCTTTCAGTATCTAAAGGTGGCCCACAAGAGAGCTGGTGAAGGACTTATTACAAGGGCATGTAGTGATAGGACAAGGGCTATGGCTTTAAACTGAAAGAGAGTAGGCTTGGATTAGATATCTGGAAGAAATTCTTTACTGTGAGAGTGGTGAGACTCTGGAATAGATTGCCCAGTGAAATTGTAGATGCCCCATCCCTGGAAGTGTTCAAGACCAGGCTGGGTGGGCTTTGAGCAAGCTAGTCTAGTTGAAGGTGCCCCTGGCTGTGGCGAGAACTAGAGGATCTTTAAGGTCCCAACCCAAATTAATCTATGATTCTGTGGTACAAATTATATACCATATTATATATTGTTCTACAGGGAACGTGTAATAGCTCAAGTCTGAAAGCAGACCATGCCCTCAAGGAAGTGTGTATGGCATCATTTAGTAGTTGTGGCATAGTTGTCACTGATTTGGGTTCTTCTGCCTTGCTTTATGTTGTGATTTCCCATTGCACCTAAAGCTTCATTACTTAAGGACCAGTCTAAAGATGCATGAAACTACATGGCTAACACAATTTATTATACGCATAGCTTTGGGCTCATGTATAAATACTTTGCTTTTACTAGGTCAACACTTTAACTATTTAAGTTGTATATTAAAACAAATAATAGACAGAAGTAATCATAGTACCAAGAACCATGTAAGTCTAATAATTAAGGCTGTTAGGACAATAAGGAGAGGTGTTGTACAGGCAGACATACACACTGCAATTAGTTTCAGCAAATAGCATAGCTTCTTATTCCACTCCTCTCTTTTTGTATGTTTCCTTGAAGACTACACTCTAAATAAAGACTGCAGTTTATGTTTGTCAAGCTGGAAATCCAGGCACCATGCTTGTTTATTTTTCTTATCAATATAGGATGTCTTATACCTGCATATTGTAAGGATTTTGTTCTCATTTTAAGACTGGTTTTCTGGTCTCCATGGAACAGAACTCTGACTGCCAGATGACCTCTAAACTGGTTGAAGCACTCCATCATGGAGAGTCACTTTATTTCCATAATAATTCTAATTCTAACTATAGGCATAAAGGAATTATCTCCATCACCTCTGAATATGAAACGTCTGTATAAAGAGACTATGGAAATTGAGCCCATCTTGATAATAATTTCTCCTGGTGCTGATCCTTCTCAAGAGTTGCAGGAACTTGCCAGTGTTGAAAGAAGTACTGAGTGCTACCATCAGGTCAGTCTTAGATAAGCATAATGATTAAAAAAATGCAATGTGTAAAATTTTACTGTAGTAATATCTGTTTTACCTTGTTTTTCAAGGAAGTTAATATGTAAAAACATAGTTTGGTGTCTATGTGTTTGTTCTTACCTGTCTTGACATTAACTTCTCATTCCATTTGCAAAATTTGTTGGAGAAGAGAGACACAATTTGTCATCCTCACAGAAGCAGAATCCACATGATAGGCATTCCTCCGACGTGGAGAAGGAAAAAATGAGGAGATAGATGGAAGAGAACAAAAGAGGCTGAGAATTGTTATACGTGCTACGTTATCTTTTTTTAGTGTGGAGTAATTGAAATATAAATGCACTAGGCCAGACTAGACTTCATAATTTCCTCTGCTTATAGGACTTGAATTTTTTTTTTCTCCAACTGAACAAGTAAATCAGATGTTCAGTGTTTGTGAATACTTCGGTATTTTGTGAAATTCTGTAAAATATTTTGAGAAATTTAACATCCTTGAAGGTTCCCAATAACCCACTGGACAAAACCCTCAACTTCTCGTCTGATCTTTCATAGCTAACCCTACTTTGAGCAGGAGATTGGACTAGACACCTTCCAGGATCCATTCCAATTCAAATTATTCTATGATAAAAGTAGTTTCCTAATATTCCCATTACACAGTAACAATATGCTTTATACCTTTCTATAAAAAATTGTTTCCTTTTGTCATTTGAAATATCTGGGGGGGGGGAAGTTGTTATCTAGACAATCACTGGTTAACATAGAAATGGAAAACGTCAAGTTTAATGTTGCTTTTAAATAGTCCTTGAAATTGTTCCTTTCCTAGAATATACACTGATGTAATATATTTTTCCCATCAAACTGTAAATATTAAGAACCTACTGCCAGCTTATCTAGCTGTGAACGTTGTGGAATGCATATTTCTTACTCTGCCACATGGATTTTTATGTTTATCTCTAAATATTCTTTACATGTTGGACTTTTAAAATGTAGCATGGTATGGTATTCAATTAAGGAGTGGTACTCAGAGCTAAATAATCTGAAAGGTGTCCTACTAATGAGAATATTGTGGGGTTTTCCTGCACTTTCTCATGTAATTTAAATAGAACATAAAAGATCAGATTTTTCTTCTCTCTTGAATTACTTCTTATATAGGATGAAGAACAGAGTGCTAAGTTTGTCTGCTACCTTATCTTCTTTTGGCTATTTTAAATTATTTCAAGATATATTAAGTTTTATTTAGGTAGAGGATAATAATGCTGAGACAAGACTTTTCAGATTGGCTAAGACCACTTTATTTTCAACTTGTTTGGTTCAGGGTTTTTGTTATGTATAGCTTCTAAATAGATTCTAAGGTAGAACTAATATGGTGCTATAAAACATGAAGAAAGGACTGTATGTTAAACTATTCATATTTCCCAGTTGGAAAGAGACCAGCCTTAGTTTTTCACTCATCTTAATATAACTGAGTGTTTCTCTTCAAAGGAAATACTCCTAACTTCCAGTCAGAAGAAACTTTGTTCTCATTTATCTCTTGTTTTTATTGTATCAGCAGTTCTGCAGTAGTACAGTTTAGTCACTGATATTTAAATTACTTTTTGACTTCCCAGGGAATACCATTACTGTCACCAAAGGATGTATGTTTTTTGCCATAAAAAGACTAGGTAATGGTTTTTTTAACAAACTCTGATTAGAGAAATTGTGAAGGAAAACTGTTTTCCCTAATCTTTTCCCTACTTTAGTAGCCTATCACGTTAGAGAAAATTCTAGTTATCTTTAGCACTCCTTTTTTACATATGCACCCTAAATTGAAAGCATGATTTTGTATTTAGCTGTTAAATGAGGTATGATAAGTTCTTGATGCAACTGTGTCTGTCATTTCAGATTGCAATGGGCCAGGGCCAAGCTGACCTGGCTATTCAAACTCTGAAAGAATGTGCACGCAATGGAGAATGGCTCTGTTTAAAAAACCTGCATCTCGTTACATCTTGGCTTCCTGTGTTGGAAAAGGTGAGGGCAAATAGAGAAGAAGATATTGGAAACCAGACAAAATTAGTATGCAAAATTTCTGAAACATTTTAGACATTTCCATGGTGATGTTTAAAATTCCAGTTTAAAAATACACCTTTACAGTTTTCTCAGTCATGAATAAGGTAAACTGCTGCAGATCTAACCAGCTCCTTTTTTTGTGTGAACATTTTCATACGGTGTACAGTATTTCTACCATGATGATTAGGAAAATGTTCCAGTTAGGACTTCTAGTACTTTGAGATACTGCCCATGTTTGCTGAACTATGAATCTATCTATGCTTGAATTTAATTTCTTTTTCCCTTAGTTCTAGGACTTAATTTTTAGCAGTTCTTGTTTTTGTGAAGTATAGCTTGTGCCTGAGTTACTAAGAGGTTTTTGCTAATTTGAGATTAAAATGTCTATCTAATATTTTCTAAAAACACACTCTTCGTTATAGCATGTTAGATCATTAACTTGCTGACCAGAAGTGATTTTATATGACACGCTTTTCATGTATATCACTGTGAAATCCTCAAAAGAAATTAACCCAGAAGAAGATTAGGGAATTCCTATCGACAGTAACTACAGTCTTAATTTTCCAGTTTTCTGTGATTTTTTTGTTATTTGTACTCCATGGATGTGATCTTGGAGTCTATCATCTGTCTCTCAGTGTGGCACACATGTACCTTTAGCATTCCAATAATCCATTTTGAAAAAATGCAGAGGCAAAGCAAAATAACACTGATGTATGTCATCTAATCTGAACAAACTAGTGAACAGTAAGGAAGCGTTTGCAAGCCTTTACTGATTATAAAATTTCAGATCTTACAAGTATTAAAATATGGATATGTGTCAAGAGGTTCTTATTCTTTCCAAAAGAATGTAATACTGAATGTGTTAAACTTTCTGCTGAGCTTAATATAGACTGAGATTTGCTGATGGTTGACTCTGCACATTCCCTTGTCTATTTTGCATATCATTAACAAGTGTGAGGCTATGTAATTCCTATGTTTGAACATCATCTTAAGGGACTTCTGCATATTTATAATTCAGTTCCATCCAGGTACATAAATTTAGTTCTCACAATCTTTCAATTTAAGAAGATGAAATATATCTTCTGGTCAATGTGAACTTTATCAATAAGAAAATGATACCTTCACAGTTTACAGCTTCCCCCCATTAGCTGTCTTGTAGCCAAGCACAGAGTATCAGAGGATGCATACTGCAGATAATGATGCTTGAGCTAGCGTGCGAATTCTCTTGTTTTCTTTTCCTAAAACTCCTGCTTCCAAGGCTGTGGATCATTATCAAATCTTGGTTTGGTTCCCATAACATCCTCATAGACAAGCTGATGAAATATGGACCTCAGTGTACCACAGTGAGGTAGATTGAAAACTGGCCTAGTTGTGTTACTTGAAAGGTTGTTGTCAACATCAAAAAATCCAGTCAGAGGCCAGTCATCAGTGTTGTGCTCTAGGCATTGGTACTGTGGCCAACATGGTTTAACATCTTAATTAATGATATGAGTAATGGGACAAAGGGTATCCTCAGCAAGTAGAGATGATAAAGATTTGGAGGAAATTATTGATGTAACAGATGAGTGTGCTTTCATCCAAAAGGACCTTAATAAACTGGAGAAGTAGACTGAGGAGATACCTCATGAAGTTCAGCAAAGGCAAATGCTAAGTGCTTCCTGTGAGGAACAGCTCCGGCCACCCAGACAATCTGGGGACTAACTGACTGAAAAGCAGTTTGGCAGAAAAGACCTGGGAGTCCTAGTGGGTAAGAAGGTGACATGAGCCAGCAAAGTGACCTTGCAGCAAAGAAGGTGACTGGCCTCCTGGGCTGTTATAGACAGAGCGTTGCCAGCAGGTCGAGGGAAGTGATCCTTCCCCTTTACTCGACACTGGTGAGATACATCTGGAGTTCTGTGTCTAGTGCTCAGCTACCCAGTACAAGAGAGACATGGGCATACTGAAGCCACTTCAGTACAGGGTTAGGGTGATAAAGGAGCTGGAGCATGTATCATACAAGTGGAAACTGGGAGAACTGGGACTGTTCAGCCTGGGAAAGAGAAGCCTCAGGGGAATCTTAGTTATTTAGTGTGTATTGGCTGATTGGAAAGAGTAAAGGAGACAGACCCAGACTCTTCTCAGTGGTGTCCCATTACAAGATGAGAGGCTATGGACACAAACTAAAATACAAGAAATGCCATTTAAATAAATGATAAAACTTATTTTAATGTGAAGATGGTCAAACACAAACAGGTTGCCCAGAGAGTCTGCAGAGTCTTCATCCTTGGAGATACTGAAAACCTGACTGCATACAGGTCTGGACAACTTGTTGAATCTGGCTCTGCTTTGAGCAGGGAGTTGGACTAGGCAGGCTCCAGCAGTTCCCTCCAAGCACCATGATTCCATGACTCTAGGTACTAATTATAGTTGACATTTTGCAAAATATCTGGACAAGTAATGACTTTTCAGAATTTTTTTCTTTACTAAAAACACCAAAACCAAAATGATAATGATTATGCTTTAGAGATTATGAGAATGAATGGATTGTGAGAAAATCTGTTGAGTTTTTTGACCTATGTTTCTCCCAACACATGTACACAAAACTGTTGACATAGTTCTGACGTCAATTGTCAGACAACTTTGATGTCTTCAATGGAAAATATGTCTGTTTCAGCGGCACCTAACGCACCAGCAGTGTGTGTCCATATTCAATAATTGCATATTTTTGTGAAACCTTTATATTTGAAATAACTTTTGACAATATTTCTCTTAGAACTCATTTTTCCTAATCTCAGTTTTTTCCATGAATCATGATAACATGAAGGGTTCATACAACAAACACTTGAAGAGAAAAAAATTAATTTAGCTATACAGTTGTTGAAAGTCATTGAGATTTGTTGATATGCAACCCACATTGCAAACCTTCATCTTTTGAGATGCAGCCTTCTGGTGTTTTTGTACCTAAAAGAAGTAAAGAACTGTGATGTATTTTTATGCCCCCAATTTAGTATCCGGGGGAAAGGTGCAAATATTTTGACACAGCTAGGATGAACTTCAAGTCTGAGCACAGCGATGACATAGAATGTGTGGAGACAACACATCTTGAACTATAGTCTTTTGAATAACCTTATATGTAAAAGCAACTGTAGATTTTTTTAGATAAGCCTAACTTTCTAATCCAGGGTATTATAATTTTGTAAATACTGTTCTATATATTAAAAAAAACACCTCAAAACCTTTTTCAATATATATCATCTTTTTAATAGGAACTGAATACATTACAACCTCAACCAAACTTTCGTCTGTGGCTTACTACCGAAGTTCATCCAAAATTTACTCCGATTTTGCTTCAGTCAAGTCTGAAAATAACTTATGAAGTAAGATTTGTTTGGAAAGTTTTTATTTGATTTTTGCATGAAACTAATCTAGATGTATAGTAAACTATATGTTTAAATAGAATAAGTGACTTTACCTTATATTTCAAAAAATGCTATGAATTTACCTTGGGAGATGAATTTTTTCCTAGATACTTTTTCCAGTTGAAAGTTTGATCTGAAAATAAGTTTAAATAGGGAAACTAGTTGTTCTGTCTTATGCTCCAAATTCTTTTGTGCATTTAATCAGTGTTTCTTAAAAGCAAAAACCTACACAGATGATATTACATGGATGACAAACAAGGAATTTCTCCTTCTTGATGAACATCCTCATCTGAAGATCACAGAATCCCACTTTCTTATTTTCCTTTTTGGCCCCATAGCTTTATATTCACTGGACCCTTTCAACAAAAATGGGTTTCTTCCTGTACAGCAGAACATACAGTTAAAGGCCTTTACTCAAAATTGAGACCTTTGCTTCAGTTTAAGGAATAACTGGGACTGTGTTCCTCCAAATGATTGGAAAGTAGTCTAATCATGAATGCACTGAAGCAGTAGTGTCCATTATGGAAATCATTGATAGGAGTGCTACTAAATCTTCCATTCATTATGGGGTGTGGAGATTTTGCCTACAGCTAAACTGAGAAACTCTGACCTTTAGAGTCCAATGTTGCCGACTTTCAACAATCCAAAACTATTATACTTTTATATTGACTGCAGGTATTTTTAAGTTTCTGGAGTACCTTCTTGCTTATATTGAGCCCTTCAGTGGTACAGAAATTGCAAGACTGTGTAGGATCATCACATTTCTTTTCATCTAACTTCCGGAAGTTACTCATCCCACTGTCTTTGGAATAATTGGAACTTTGCACAAATGCAATATTCTCAATCCTTTTGTTTTCTTTTCATTTTTAGTAAATATTTTGTTATCATGAAAGGACAATGATAGACAATGACTTGGTGAATGATATTTGATTATTATGTGGTTGTAGTATGTCCCTTAACTGTTACCGATCAAGATGCAGATATGAAAAGAAAAAGTCAATTTACTACAGTATTTTGCAATTATTTTTCAGAAGTGTGCATAAGCAGCATATGGAACTATGTTAATCTTATGGAAACATTAAAAACCATTTTTCAAAAGAAAGAACAAAGAACATTCTTAGAAATACGAAAGTGTAATTTAAATCTCTTTAAAATTTATGTTTGCCTACACACTTGGAAATAATTTGAAAATGGCTGAGTATCCAGTAGTTTCTACTTTTAAGCACTGTAATTTCTGTTATTATATACACTTTAAATGCAGTTATTTCCAGTGATTGTGAACGTTACCTACCACTTAATCAGAGAACCAGCATTTTATCATTCATCTATACCATATCTGTATGCTAGTTAACAGAGTGAGGTGATGGCAGAAGGCAATTTGACACTCATCACAGAATTAATTGGTAGCTGAACTTTAAAATCAGAAGAAAAGTGGTATTTTTGAAAACAGCTGAATTTAATTTATGCTTACATATTTTGATAGAGTGTTATTCTTTCGCTAAGTTCTTTTAGTGTGGTACAGTCCTGTCAGTTGGTCCGGGTTACAATTTCCTTCAGTATGCTGACGTTATTTTCCGTATAGAATCATTCTATTATTAGGCCATTTATTACAAACAAATATTTTTCTTGTTAAATTTTATTCTATTAAACACTGTTTGTCATTTCTTTAAGTTACAAATTTTAGGTTAGAATTTAAGAAAATAGCACATAAAAATACCAGGTTTTCTGTAGAACAATGTCTTTCCTTCTGATGCAGGCGCCTCCAGGCCTCAAAAAGAACCTCTTGCGAACGTATGAATCTTGGACACCAGAGCAAATTAATAAAAAGGGAAATTTGTCTCGAGCACAGTCTCTCTTTTGTTTAGCATGGTTTCACGCTGTATGTCAAGAAAGAAGAAACTTTATCCCTCAGGTAATATTTTATTTGCCACCTTTTTAAAAATGTACCCCACTTATTAGCTTCTGTACTTGGAAGTATTTTTCCTGTTGGGTCATGTTCAGAAATGAGAAAAATTTGGACACTTCTGGTGCCTACCTTCATTGTCTCTGAATTCATTGCAAAATACGATCTTGGTAACTTCAATTCCTGTCTGTCTGAAAATTGTTCCTTCCTGCATGGGGTTGTTTTATGATTTGTGTACTAACTGATAGTGATGAAGAAATGAAGTCACATGGAAAAGATTCTGTGAATCCTGTTTGCTTGGGACAGGAAAAAGTATTATGGAAACACACAATTGAATGGGAGATGAGAAAAGAGACACTTTGGTAGGAAGGAGGAGGTGACATTATCTACTCTTGCTATACACAAACCCTTCTCAGGGAGAAGGAAGAACAAGGGAAGGTATTAATTTCTTGTGAGGATTATAATGGTTTTCAGAGACTGTGATTTTTTTCCTTAGACAAATTATTGTTTAAAGTAAACATTTCTTTATGGCTGCAGATGCTTAAATTAAACAGACAAAAACCCCTAAACCAGCAAACTGCTGTATGTTTTGTTTATTTTATTCTATTTAGACTAGGGATGAAATTACCCTGTCATCTGAAGGGTACCCTGTCTGGCATAGCCTGGAACATTAGAGTTTTTTGCTGCTTTTGACTTTGTGATTTGTAAGGTTGTTTGCCTGTTGCAGTAGAAGGCTTTTGAATATGGTGTTAAAGAGTACAGTAGGTGAAAATATTTAAAGTACTAAACTGACACATGAATTTTCCTTTGTCTTTGTTCAAATTCATGTTCATTTAGCACCAGTTTTTCAAGTAACACAAGATAGGATTACTGCTTTCTCTTTAATTCTTCTGTAATTGTGTTTGTCTCATGTGCAAACAGTGATAGTTTTTCTAACATTAATGGACTGCAGTTAATCTCAGGTAGAAGCTTTTGTATTTTGTAATGAATTTTGAGTTGTTTTGGGATCTGTAAAAAAACCCCAACATGAACACTGTTGAGCATCTTTCCAGTATATGACCTTCTGGGTGACTGGCTGATAGTTATTTGAGATCTGTGGAGCAACCACAATCTTGACCTGAGACTGTATCCATCTCACTGAACCTGTGCAAAGTTGTCTGACATGTTTGTGCACTTCACGTCATGAGTCATATGGACATGTTGCTATGATATGATCCATATGCAAAGGTAGAGCCATAAGAAGATACAGCAACAGGACATACCTTTGAGATCTGCATTTCCTAAATTCTGTATCATATATCAATATGTATTTGTACTTATCCATTTATAATGAAAACTTTTTATGACAATTACATACACACTACACATTACTGGTACATAAAGAGTAGTGCCACCAAGAACAGAAAGGAGGTACAAACTGGAAATGATTAAAATATGCATATGACAGTCAGCATTTTCACTGTAATAGTAGCAGTAATTGCTTTTCTCATAATTTTTTTAGTCAGAAATGAAGTGACGTGAATTAAGGAGTAAGACGATGAATGTATACTAAAGACTCTGTTTGAAGAATCAGTTCTATTTATGAAAATCCTTTCTATATCCTGAAATACTGAAAGACCCTCAGAAATAAAATCATAATTCAATGAATGATCTAGTCACAGATGTCAGCAACTTTTAGTTGAAGTAAATAAAGTTAAGAAATAAAATAAACTTAAGTTTACATTCTTCATACTCGATGGATTCTGGTTTGTGTAAGTATGTAAAACTAAATGCAGTGGTAGAGCTAATGTTTAAAACTGAATGTTTCAAAAATTGCACCTTAGAGGGCACAGGTTCTTTCCTTTTCATTCAGTATTTAGTATATACAGCATTCAGTAATCACATAATACTGGTATTTTACTTCATGATCATCATTGTGTGACTAATTAAATTCTTTGGGTTTCTTTTAATGATAGGGTTGGACCAAGTTTTATGAATTTTCTTTATCTGATCTCCGTGCTGGTTTTGACATTATTGACACACTTTTTGAGGGTAAGTCATGTCTTAAAGGAAGTCCCATTAGTAGGGATGTTGCATGGAGAGTTTTATCTTTTTACAATGTTCAGGTAAGAGTGGAGATGCTGCAGAGCTCATCAAAAGTGAGCAAAGCTAGAAACAACACAAATCCGTTTCTCGGTAAACCAATAATTTCTTGGTGCCCAAGAAGTATTCTGCTCAGCTTCTTGAGTGCAGAGGAACAAATAGGAAATACAGGGCTGCCTGTAAGATGGAATCTTGCGTCTCCATTCCTTCCCAGTATGAACTCCCTGTATATTGAATAAATGAATTGAATATGAATGAATTCTTCATATTGAAACTCAATATTAGATGGAGCCCACTTTATTGTTCTATTAAGTAGTGTAGGAATTTCTTAATATTAGTTATTTTAGGTTAAGGTAATTTTTTTTTGAAATCTTTGCATTTTGTTAATTTCAAGTAAAGGTAGGAACTGATATTTAGAGCTAATTTATGATCATTGACTTAAATGGGATTTATGGATTATTAGTACTTCAGAAATTAGAGCTCAGTTACACAGACTTGAAACATAAAGTGGTGTAAAGAGATTGAATCATTAACTAATCAATAATCATTAATCTAATCATCATTATTGCTTTTCTTATGAAAGAATGATTGAAGTGTTAGGAAACAACAGTTACCACCAATAAACCCCCTCTTCAAGTAATTGCCACTTCCTTTTTTCAAGGGACTTTAATAAGTACCTTTCTAATCAAGCTTTTACCTGCGTATGAAAGCAATAGGATATAAGTAGATCATTGTGCCATGTAGTTATTTTGGACAACTGTGACAGAATGAAGGAAAAATAAGATATTTTGAACTTGTGGGTTATAGCTAAGCCAGAATAATCTATTGCAACATCAATCTGGCTAGGAAATTACTAGTAACATGCTTAACTTTATGTGTTATGTTGTTTGATTTCTAATGATTTGCAAAGTATCTAGCCTGGACCTTTTTGTGTTTAAAAGATGACATTTTGAGTAATCTTACCTATTTTGAGCATGGTCTGCTTTTGATTTAATCAGTTAGTTTATTTTATGAGATCAGATGGTACCATCATACAAAATGGTGTATAAATTTTTATTTATGACAAAGGAGCACGTAATTAGTTTTAATAGCATAATTTCTGAAATGCATGTAACTAATGAATATAACCAATTGGTTCAAAAAGCACTTCAAGACTTAAGTTATATTTCTAATAATTCATTTTGAAATACAGTAAGTGTTCATTTTATCAATGGCGGATATTTACAAACTCATCCAACTTTCTGCAACTTTTACTATTTAATAATATAGAAGAAAAATAATTTGAAATTAATTATTTGATGCGTTCATGTCTCTTTTATTTTGCTAAAGAACTGCAGTGACAAGAAGAAATGCTTATAATCCGATGCTATCCAGTGTTATAAAACTAATATTAATTAATTAATTAATTGATAGGTTTCAAAGATTTCCAGTGGGAATTTGTTCATGGCTTGTTTGAAAATGCAATCTATGGAGGCCGTGTAGATAATTACTTCGATATGAGGGTTCTTCGGTCCTACTTGAAGCAACTTTTCAATTCACAAGTCATTGGCAGTTTAAATGTTAGAGGCAAGAAGATGACTAGTTTCCCATGTTCGATCTCTCTACCGAATTCCTGCAGTATTTTGGTAGGTATCCATCTTCTCTCACCTAGGAAATAATTTATTTTCAGGAATTATTCTTGAAATACTTCCACAAAGTAAACCAAAGTTACAATCCAAAGGATACCTCTATTTCTTCAGGACTTCTTTTGTGTGGAGCACTAATCCTTAAGTGCTCATTCACTGTTCTTTTTTATGGTACGTGATTGGACCGTGGTGCAGAGCAGCATAGCTATGAAGAACTGAGTATAAAAGAAATTGGGTCAATTTATGAAAAAGGATATAATTACATTTTTATTTAATTAGTATATTAACAGTAGTTTTGTAAAGACTGCCAAACATTCCTACAACTTCTGGATGAAATAGGAAAATCTAAATATATCTTCATATTTCCAAAATATATCAATATTCTGACATAATCTGCTGACATGCCGTGGAGGGCGTATGACATTTTGTTTGGTGATAAATATGGATTCTGATTCTTCTTTAATATTTCTTTAGCATAAATGAGAGGGAATTCCTCAGTCTAAAGAACTGAACTCTCCCTATGCTTTCATATACTATTATTGTTACTACTATGATTAAGATTCATTTGCATTTTAATTTAGGACTCAATCATAGACCTCTAATATGAGTTGATGTAAACAGAATTATCCCAGTTAAAGTAAATTGCTGTCATTGACATTCTCTACCTGGCTTCTGACTGTTTTGGTTTGGGGCTTGGTTTTTGTTTTTTTTTTTTTATGTTGGTTTTGTTTTTTGGTTTTTTTTACTCTAATATGACCGATATTTTTTATTTTCTATAGATATGCTGAGTTAATATCATAAACAGGGAAGGAATAAACACACCAAGCTAGTCTCTCTTCTTGTAGATAATATGGTCAAGTAGATGAATCTTTTTTCTACCTTACATTGCATTTAACATCTTGATTTCTTATATGATTATTTATGTAAGAATTTATAGTTCTGTATCTTCAGTACTTTTCTGCAAGCAGTTTTGATTAGTAGAACATAACTAAAAAAAAAAAAGCTAAGTTTGTTTCCTTAAATTATTTGCAATGATATATCTTACTAAATTAGTGTTCCCTCAGTGTTTGGTGTAGAGGTCTGCTCCTGTTGTTACTTCTGAAGTGAGATTCCATGTTAAAGTGTGTCTATCTAGCACATGCTCCTGCAAGCAAAGACAGAATGCACATGACACAATGCAAGAGGATGCAGCCAGACTTTCAAATAGTAAATATTTTTGCCTTTAAATCACAATAAAAGAGATGTCCAGCACTATTAGTCTACCTTAGTCTGAAAAATCTCTTTCTGTTTTGTGCAAGAGGGCATCTCTAGTGACTCTTACATTATAATCACTATTGATGCTATTCTGCATCTCCATATTATGCAAGCCTATTTTAATGGAGATTATTTTACTTTCTTTGAATGATAATATCTTCATAGATTTAAATAGAAGTGAGTGCTCTTAATTTTATAAATATGAATTATACTTTTCTTAGAATTCCAGATGCGGATTTTTTTTTTTTATTTTGTCATTAATCTTACTTTTAAGTTTTCAACAGAAGTATTGTAACTACTTTTCAAGGACAGTCTTGGCATATTTTTCATTTCAGTTAATACCATCACTGTAATCAGAACTGCTTTTTGCTCTTTTAGAGTGGAAATGCTATATACAAGAAGATAGTTTTGATAAATAAAATGAAGAAATCTGTAAATAAGATTACCAACATATCTCGTGTCTTATATATTTATTTTAATCTTTGTGTTATGCAGTGCACCTAATGAAATTCTTTTCAGCATACAGTGTTAATTTTCATGAGCTGAATAAAAAGTTCCCCTAGTTATGTTTATTCTTTTCTTCTAATGCAGGATTATCGCAATATTATTGAAAGCCTTCCAGAAGATGATAAACCTGACTTTTTTGGCTTGCCAGCTAATATTGCTCGTTCATCACAGCGCATGATCAGTTCCCAGGTAAAATTAGCATTTTTCATTGGTCTCTAAATATTTTCTGCAGCTAGTATAAGCTCAAGAACCCAACCACCTGTTCATAAATGTGCTTCTGTAAGAAAGTTGGAGTAAATGGATGGGGGTTTTTTGACATATTGACATTTATCTGTAGAATATTTTAATATAGTAACAGTTAATCTTTAGTTACAAGAATATGAATCTAGAACTTAAATAAACAAATAGTTATTAAGAAAGTTTCCAGTAATACAATTCAGTTCACACTGAAGAGTGACACGATAGTTTTACACATTAAATAGGAGTAATATTTATGCTTTTTCTGAAAGAGAAATTCTGAAGAATTCTTTCAGTAGTCAAAAAATTCCATCTTTACAATTAGAAATATGATTTTCTTTAAAAAAGTTGTTCTCACTGGAGAATAGCTACTTAAGCATGTCATAAGGAAATTCTCAACATAATGAAAAGGAAGTTTGAGGGTGTTTGATGGTAATAATTTAAAAATTCACTAATTTTAAATATTTCCATTATTGATTTAACTGTAACATATGGCAGATGGCTATATCATAGTAAAGAGTTCTCAGCTGTCATTTAATTTCAATCTAGTCCAGATTGGAGTATATGTTTAGTACATGAGAATGCACTAATCTTAGTGCTGGAATAATAGGCAATGATTAAAGATTTTTCACCTCTTTGTTTTAGAGTTCTATGTAGAAACTGCATCTTGGGAGAGTGACATGGATCAACATTATCCTGGGTACTATTAAGGAAACAGCTGGGGCAGCTTTCCTTCTCACCCTTTGGGAAGCCCAAAAATACTGACTGTCCCTTATTCTTGTCATAATTTCCGTTTTGTCAGTCTAAGAAAGAAAAAGATGGAGTGATTTGAATTCCATATGTCTTTATCATCAATACAGTTTTTGATTCGTTGGACAAAGCTTTTCGTTGCTGGTATTGCATCACTTCTCTTAGGTGTCAATGCAGTTGCCTAAAGATTGGTGTCTCATATAATCTGGATATGCTCTAGTGTATTTAAGACATCTACGAGGAACTGCCAAATACAACACAGGATCCAAATGACTACATGTTCTACTGGGCCAGTGACTGGAATTCAGGACAAAATGGCACTAGAAGCCAGTGTTTAAACAACTTGATTCCCACTGCTTGTGCACTTAGATCCAGTAAAGCATGGATCTGGAGATCCTTAAATTCTTTGTTCTATATTTTTCTTTCATTGCTTCAGTGAAGTCTAGATGAGAGCACATGATTACTGTATTAGTGCAGTACCAGTCTTTTAATTTTTCATCAGCATAGTTTGTTTGACTGGTAATAAATTAGTTGTGTCAGATAACATGACATTTCATTGAATTGAGATTCTTACATCAGAGCTGTGAAGTGAACTGGTCTGTAATTCGTGGCTCTCTTTAATTTTCTGTACAGCCCTAGCATGCTGTCTTAAGTAAGGATAAGTTATAGGGGGGAAAATTAAATCATAGAATACCAGGTTGGAAGAGATCTCAAGGATCATCTGGTCCAACCTTTCCTGGCAAAATCAATTGGAATTTCCCTATAATTGGAATTTCCTATAATTTCAAGACTTAGAATAACATTTTTTTAAAAAAGTATCAAATTGTTTGCTCACACTCACCTAAAAAAGGGCTCCAAGCAGAAATTTCTTATTGGTATAAGACCTTTGATCTATTAAAAAAAATAAAATTACCTTTGAGTATTGCATTTGTTGACTATCAAATACAGTACTGGTAAATTTGTTTAAATATATTTGTTTACTTAAATTCATAGCTGTATTGTCAAACTATTTGGGGGTTTTTTAGGACATGAAACAATAAAGCTAAAATCAGTAGGATGAGGGTGCATACGGTAATAGGCTGAACTCAGGAATGTATCTCTTACAAAGCTAAAAATGCACTAAGATTCAACGTAGCTCTATTTGGTGTTGCCATAAAGTCATTTATAGAAACATCAATTTAAATGCTTTTGTTTCTGTCAGTTACACTGTACACTGCTGATTATTTTATTTATTTCAGCTATGCTTACTTGTTAAAAGCTGCAGCTGTTAAAAAATGCTAGTATTTGAAAATAAATCCATAGTTAACCTCCACAAAATCAGAACAGATTCAGAGTTCCTGTGTGAAGGGAAATAGGTAAGGAGCGTATGTACTTGCAAACTCACACTCTGGTGGTCTGTCACAGCATTGATTATAAACTATAAATTATGGATTATAATCTTCAAAATGTGAGACTGTTGTAGTTACAATCTTATGAGATGATTTTTTTGTCATGTGAGAGATTTTGTCATCCTTCCAATAATAGTTTGTGGTACTTACTTTAAGTCCTAGGCAATGTAAGTAACAGAAATGTGAGATTTCCTTTAAATTGTGCTTCTGCCTAACTGTGAATCCTACTCCCATTCCATTTCTGACAGTTTGGCAGCTGTCTTAGATCCACAGGTGATCCCATGGTTCACAATCTGAAATTGAATGATTGCTTTCTAACAGGAGTGTTTATCAGAAATCCATTACAAAGCTAAAGCAGAGAGAAGGTGAATGAGTAAGGTGGTGAGAAATGAATTGCTACCAGCTCAACAGCCATGTCTCTAGCACCAGAAAGGTGAAATGTAATACTGTGTCCACTACTTCACTGATTTTGTAGACTTTCTCTGAATATTATTTATTTTTCATGCCTAGGAGTGATAGTTTGTATTGCTGCAGCAACACACTTTACTATAGTAGAAATTTGCTGTAGCACAGCGCAGTATTTTGCAGTCATGCAGACATCTTTTCTGTAACCTACTGCATTGCTAATGTTCAGGTAAACCTAAAACAGCAATGAAAAGATAGGGACTTTTTTCAGAAATTTTTCAAATATTGATGAAATTCACACCTTCTTACAAGCAGAGAACTTCTCTAATTGAAGAGCTGAATATCGCTAGCAATTTTATTTTAATACTGCTAATTACTAATTGAATTGTGTAGAAATTATGTCTTACAGTGTTCTGTAGTGTAATTCAGAGAGTATTAATATTTAATCTGTACTGGTGAAAGCCATTTTGTTTTTAAGAAAATATTTCATGTAAAAAAACATGATCTTTTCAGAAACATGACTTATATTTTTTTCTGAAGTTTGTCCTTAGTTGTTCTATGTAGGTAGAGCTAAGTAAATTTTTAAAACCTGGATTTCTAGAGTTCACTGTGTCTCTTTGGTTCTACCTCACCTAATGTTACAACCAAGCTTTGACACAACATCTCTTAGATTGAGTATGGAGCTTTGCTTTATGTTTCCTGTGCAGTGAGAAGTCTCTTCTAAGTTAGATATCTCTCCAGTCACCTTCTTGCAAAACGGGCTTTTGGTGCCAGTGTACTTGTTTCTTATTCTTGGATCCATGGTTCTGTTCTTTTATGAATTCCTGTGAACCAACTTCATCCTTTATTATAATTTTAATAGAACCATACATAAGGTGTCTTCATCAAAATAAAATTTATCATACATGATAAATGGTATTTTTACAGACTGAAACAGACAGGCTTGCATACGTATTTTTACACCTTAGAAAAGCAATAAGAACTATCCTCTTCTGTGAAAGATTTACCATACCTAATACAACTGATATGACTTATTGCCAGTAACCACCCTAGGAAGATGAAATGAAAATGCAGAGCCACTGTTTTGTCTCCCTCCCTTCTTTGCACAGCAGACGTAGTCATTGCAGGCACTCTTTAGGTATTGTAACGTTTAAAGCCTTCTGTGTTGTGTGATTCTAACAAATCCTGCTGAATGGCTGTGCCTGCAAGTGACTGCTGTAAGTAGTAGCTATGTATGGTCAGTTGACTGGGTAATCTAAACATTCTCCAATAATATGGTAAATAATTTTGAGAAAAAAAGCCTTTCAGTAACTGACAAGTTATGCAAGATTCTTCAAATATGACTGCCAATGATAATGACTATGGCTAGCACTTAGTTTGCTTAATGCTAATTTCTATATAGAATATTGTGTTTAATAATATCAATAATATCTTGTCTTAGGAATTCAGCATTCTTTTACACATACAGATTCATAGTGCTTCACAGAGAGTATCATGAGACAGGTGAGTCTCAGTAAGGTTGAAGAATAGGTTGGTTTTGATATTTTTATAGATGAATGAGTACACTCTCTGACACAGGGGAAGAGGAGGAAGGAGGGGCAGAGATAACGTGTGATGAACTGACCAGAGCCCCTATTCCCTGTTCCCCTGCACCACTTGGGTTGGAGGACGTAGAGATTCTGGAGTGAAGTTGAGCCCAGGAAGAAATGAGAGATGGTGGGAAGGTGTTTTAAGATTTGTTTTTATTTCTCATTATCCTATGCTGATTTGATTAGCAATAAATTAAATTCATTTCCCCAGGTCAGGTCTGTTTTGCCCATGACAGTAACTGGTGAGTGATTTTTCCCTGTCTTAGCTCGATCCACAAGCCTTTCCTTACATTTTCTCTCCCCTATTCAGCTGAGAAGGGACGTGATAGAGCAGCTTTGATGGGCACCTGACAACCAGCCAAGATCAACCCAGTACATCCTCAAAGTGCTTAAGGACATCAAAAATGTAAAATAATCCTTTGAACCTCAGATTGTTGAAGAGTTCACAGATGGTAGCTTCTTACCAATTTTTCAATGAAATACTATGAAATTATTTAATTGTAGATTTTATGTACAGATTAAAAATGTTGAGCTCCGAGTACTTATAAGTTCAAATAAGTGTGTTCCAGTTCACTTCAACTGAAGTTGCTGGAAGTACTTCTCCTATATTTTGTTCTTTGAAATTTTATTTGCTTTTCAGCCATGCCAGTGATACTCTGCATCTTAGGCAATTCAGATTTTGCAACAAAATTACTGTTTTTAAGAACCTATTTCATACTAATTTTATTGTCTCAAATAGAATCCAAATCTGAGTAGCATTTTCTGTGATAGGGTAAAGGATATAAGGTAATATAATTTTCCCAGATATGTTTCTCTGAAA